CTCTTCAATACTCCCCCATTGCTCAGCCTTTCTGCAGAAGAAAAATGGGGCCACAGAGTGCCTTTACGAGCCCAGCACAATAAAACAAAAGCAGCACAGAGGAGCATTTGTCAGCCTTCTCCCCTCCCGGGGTGGATACAGAGGGTCTTCGGTGTTTCAGATCACCGGCCCTCCCAGGCTCTGAAAGCAACATCAGGAAGGGACACCGTTCACCCCAGGTTTGCGCTGAAAAACGGGTTGATGGCTCATCTCTACGCATTTTCTCCAGATGCTGCTTACTACAGCTGCCCCAAGGCCAACGGCGACTGGCGAAACGTTAGGAGATGTTGCACGTCACCAGGGCCGTGGAACGATGGTGGGGGGGGATGGGATGCAGAGGGGCTGTTTCTTACTCTTCAACAACCCTCTTGGTGACTCAACTAGTCCTATTCTCTGGGACTATGAACCAGAGTGGAAGGGTCAGCGACGGTAACCTTTCTGCCTCGACAACCCACTGCACTAACGATTAGCCACCACTTCTGTTGCTGGGATGATGACATCAAGCACAGCCCGGAGCCAGGCCTGCACGCACAGCCCGAGGTATCTGCTGAGCACCTCGCTATCCTGTCTGTAAACCTCCTACATGTCCGGAGGGGAAGGGTGGTGGGCAGACGCTTCCACTGTGGCCCGAAGGGGTGATTTCCACCCTTTACTCAGCCCCTCTTCTCCTCACAGCTGTCTGAAGCCCAGGCAGGGAGAGCCCACCTAACACAGGGGATGTTCGTGGTCCGACACTGCCCCCTCTGTCTAAGGCCCTGCACCCAGCTAAGGGTGCACTGTTTCCCGGGGCAAGACTTCTGCGTGTTGGAAATAATACATAGAGCTAAGAAGGCTTCACAGGGTTCGAGTTTTGCTTGGAGAAATGAGGTGGTTAAGAGAAAGGAGGTCTGTCTGTGAGATGCAGAAAAGAAACACCCCTAACCCCAGCGACTGCAGCCCCAGTCTACATCACCTGGCCCCAGTCACGTGCCCACAAGGCTGCAAAGACACAGCTTCCACAGCCCGCCGGAGCCTGGCACTCAGGGCGCTGCTCATTTGTTTTGTGAATTACCAATGGCTGACTATTTCTTACTCCTCTGCGCCCCAACCTCGTCCCTCTCTGGAATCAAATCCATTTAGACAGCAAGAAGAGGAAGAGAGAAGATTCTTCCTGCGAAATTCTGCCGACTCATGGTTCCTCATGAACTCACACAGGCATTGGAATTCTTCGTGCGGGGAAATGACTGAACTGGGCAGGCAGGGACAGAATCAGTGTGCAGCCAGTTTTCATCCAAATTCTCACACATGCATGCATATACATGGAACTAACACAAACCATCCTAAGCCTTTGACCTTTTGGGGGTTCTTTTTGTGGGGGTGGTGCCTTCTGTAATATAACAACCTAGCTGGCTACACACCAAACAGACTGCCAAGCATTAAGGGTCAATAGAGGGGGCCAAATTCAGCTCTTCGTAATGACCTTTTCTTAATCCCCCAAATGGAGGAGGGGAGGGCAGGAGCAGGACTGGAGGTGTCAGGGTGGGGAGTGGGCACACGAAGGGGAACATTTAAACCTTGAAAATCAAGATGTGCTCCAGCTGCCCGGCTTTGTGAGCGTCGCAGCCAAGGCCTGGCCCGGCAAAGCTGTGCTTTCACAGGCTCTTGAACAATTACTTCCAGTTAAGTTCATTAAACATAATTTATTTCCACTCATTCTCATTTATTTTCCAATAAAAAGAAAGCCTCCCATTGTGCTTCTCCCAACTAACCTTTAAAGCACTTGTGAGCTTTAAGTCTTGGCCCGCCCGGTCCAGGCTCGCCCCTGACCAGGCAGTTCCCAGTGTTTTCTTCCTGCCGGCCTCCCTCCAGGAGCAGGTCACAGAATCCCGGAGGTCAGAGTGGCGGGGGGCGGGGGGGGGGTTGCGGCAGCGCAAGGGGGT